TAACTCCCAAACCTACCTCCCCAGTGTAGACTTCTCCTCTGTGCTATATTCCTCTATTTCTAGCTGTCTGCTGTATGTATCCACCTGGCTGTCTACTCAATATCTCAAATTCAACAAATCCCAAACGGAATTAATTTTCTCTGCTAAAACTTGTCCCTCTTCTCTCTTTTCAACTTCCTTATTTCTGTTGTTGGTATGGCCATTCTTGATCATCCAGGCTCAAAAATGGAGAATTCATCTTTCACCATCCCTTTGCCCTTATTATCCACATCCAACCAGTTAGTTACTCAGTCCTGTTAACTCTAGCTTGGTAATATTTCTGCATAGTAGGAGGGAGCCTGTTTCCTGTCACTCCTCTACACAATTTTGCAAAATGACAGAGTTGGAAGAGAACTCAGTGGTTACCTAGTCCAGCCCATGAGTGACAGAGAAATTCCTAACCCTAACAAGGAGACAGAAAAACATTATGAAGCTCATACTATGTGTGAAGCACTTCACTAAAGGATGGAGATAAAAATAGAAACCCCAAACAATCCCTACTCTCAATAAGCTCACATTCTAATTGGAAAGCAGGAAATAAATATTTATAAAAGGGTATCATGTGCCGAGCACTGTGCTAAATGCTTTAGAAATATTATATCATTTTATCCTCATAATAACCCTGGGAGGTAGCTACTATTATTATCTCTGTTTTACAGATGAAGAAACTGAGGCAGGCAGTGACTAAGTAACTTCCCCAGGATCACACAGCTACTAAGTGTTCTGAGGGTAGATTTAAACTCGGATCTTTCTGACTCTAGGGCCTAGGTGGCCCTAGAGGAGACAGAGGGTTCATGCTCATGTTCAGTTCATGGCAGATGAAAAAAAACAAAGAGTACTTAGGTAGGTAAAGTAGCAGGGTAAATGGCAAAGCCTTGAGGATTTTGAGGAATAAGACAGAGGATCTCCTACCAAGAGGATAGAGTTAGAATGGAGCTCTGAATGAACTCTGAAGAAGTAGGGATGTGGGGGTCAGCATCCAGCTGACAGTGAGTGTCCTTTGCTTGGTAGGAACTAGGCAGTGAGACTGAGGGAAGGCAAAGGTCCATGGCGTCCCTCAGTGGCAACAAGTGGTGTTGGGTTTTTTTCTCTTCCTGATACCAGTGTTGAGCTAGAACAAAGGAGGGGAAAATCCCCAGTGCCGATGAAGATGGCTGATCCTGGTCATGGGGACATCTCTTCAGCATTTTGGAGGCATATTTCTTCCTTAAATTGCAATTACTATTCTAATAATAATAATACCATAGCCTCATTCATTTGATTCCTCCTAATTTAGACTGTGCTCACTTAAATCCATACTCTTTTGCAGCATAATGAAAGCTAGTTTTATATATAGCTATATATCCGTCTATATAGCTATATTTCATTTCATTCATCTCTGTTTCTATTTATATCCATCCATCCATCCATCCATCCATCCATCCATCCATCCATCCATCCATCCTTCCAACCATCCAACCATCCATCCATCCATCCATCCGTCCGTCCGTCCGTCCGTCCATCCGTCTGTCTATCTATCTATCTATCTATCATCTATCCAATAGCCATTTGCTACTAGGTTACCCGTAAATATTCTCCAAGCACCTCCTCCCCTACCTTCTGTCTCTGTAGAATTGCTCAAAGGCATGACTTGGCTGTCACCAGCATACCGCCTCTTTACACATCACTGACTTGCTGCTACCTCTGGTCCCAGGTGGTGCTGCTACTAAACAGCTTACCTTGGATTGGGGGCCCCTCCTCTGATAGAGAAAGGGAGCCCCCTGCTGGACAACTACCAGTGGTTTTAGGCTGACTGTAGGAGTTTGGTGATACACACCTTGGCCCACCTACTCCCCGGCCCCTTCCCCTCCCCCTACTGTAAGCCATATGCCAGCTTTATTATACTATAGGAGGTGATAGCACCCCATATCTATGGACTATACACATACATAATGCATATATACATGCATAAATGTACACACTATCTACATATATATTATGTATCTATCTCTATCTATCTATCTGTCTGTCTGTCTGTCTGTCTCTATCTATGCATCTATGTATCTGTCTATCTATCTCTATCTATTTATCTATCTATCTATGTGTCTGTCTGTCTATCTATCTATGTGTGTATCTATCTATATCTATCTGTCTATCTATCTATCTATCTATCTATCTATCTATCTATCTATCTATCTATCTATCTCCATTGCTCTGAAATGCTCTCATTTTGGGGTATCTTGAGCTGGGAGGATGTTGCAGAAGGATTGCAGAATAAGGATTAAGTGAACCAGTCAATCAATAAACATTGTTAAATAGATAACTGGACACTCTTTTCTAATCAAGCCTGAAGGCCTGGTTAGTATGTTACAGCCGTACACCAAGCATTTGGGATTTCCTGGATGTGTGAACTCTTTCCATCAATGCAGATAGCAACCCACCCATAACTTACAGTCTTGGAAGCCACCTGAGGCTCAGAGATATTGATTGACTTGACTGTGCTCACTTAGCTAGTAACTGTCAGAGGCAAGATTTGAAACCATGTTTTTCTGACTCAAAATCCAGCAATCTGTCCTCTCAAATACAATATTGATACAGCATAATAACCTCCTATAAGAGAGTAAGAGGGGCAGAATCAGTCTAGAGGGTAGGGAGGTACATGGTACTGCTGGGGTGTGAAGAAAGCCTCATACTTCAAGGCCTCAGCGTTTCAAAGGGCAGCAGTGCTAGGCTGGTTGTGGGCAGCATATCTGCTGTAGGACTCTCTGAACATCTGGTTCAGAAGTTCATACAGAAGCTAACTCGAGGGAAGGGACCTGGCAGAAGGGAAGGTCTTTATTAATGTTTCCCTTCAGGCTGGAGGCAGAGTGGGGCAGAGGCAGGGCTGGAGAAGGGTGGAGAAGCCAGGCAGGCTAAGGCCAAGTCTGGATAGATTCCAGGTCTTGGGGAACTACATCCTAGCAAAGAAATGGGCCTTGGCTTCTGTAAGTGGCCAAGAAGTCTGACCTGAGGCAATCAGGTTACACAATAGGAGAACTTGGTTCTATTTGGGCTGAAAACAGGGATGTGCCTTTCTCCATGAGCAGCTCTGGTAGATGGGAAGGGAATAAGTAGTAATTAAATGTTCTCTGCGTGCCAGACACTATGCTGACCGCTTTACAAGGGCTATATCATTTGATTCTTGAAACAATCCTGGGAGATGGGTGCTGTTCTCATCATCATTTAATGGTTGAGGAAACTGAGGCAGACAGTGGTTAAGTGACTTGCCCAGGGTCACACAACTAGTAATTGTCTAAGGTCAAATTTGAACTCAGGTTTTCCTGACTCTAGATCCAGTGTTCCATCCTCTGTGTCACCTAGCTGCCTTTAGGTGGGACAACTAACCCCTAGAGAGATGGGCACTAGATAGCACTTTCAGAACTGGGGTCCTGATTCATGCCGGAGAATCATAAGAGCCAAAGCCTTAGCACTGGTCACGGAGGCAGGAAGGCAGGTTGAGTATAGAAGGGCTGAGTCCAAAGGAGGGTGGTAAAGGGACAGGGCTTGATGGAAGGATGGTTTACTTTCAGGTAGGAGGGATTGCAGAAGAGACTCCCCTCTCCCTTCCTCCCACCTTTCTACTTTCTCCCAACATCTCCTTTGAGGCCGCACCTGAATCTGAGTTCTCCTCAAAAAAAGCAGAGGGTCTCTCGAGTCACTGGGGAGAGAGAGGAAATATAGAAGTAACACATAGAACTTCCAGACCTGTTGGGATCTGCCCTCTGTTGGGGATTTCCTGGGGCTCAGGCAGTTCCCAGCAGTGTTGATGGCTTGCTCTGGATTGGTGCCCAGTGTTGGGGGATGGGGGGGCATAATGTGCCCTAAGGAGAGGCATCTCTTTTCAGAGTCCTTCCCCACTCTGGGAGCTAAAGGACCGTATATTATTTATTTTCCTATCTCCCCAAACAGTCTCACAGGGATCTTCACACAGTAGGCCCTTAGTGTTTGTCGAATTAAATTCTCTTTGCACCCCCACCCCCATCCTGCCATGCCCTTGGGGCACTATCCTATATGTTCTGTCATAATCTGACCCACTAATAGTGTGGAGGGGAAAGGTGTGTGTGGAGAAGAATGCTGTCCCACAACCTTGCCATCAGGCTTTAGGAGCTACTGCTCAGATGCTTTCCCCATTCTGGGCTCCCTCCTGTTGAAAGGAATAGCCACTGTCCTGTGGCAGTAAGGTCTGCCTGTGTGGCCCTGGGCAAATTGCTCAACCATTGCGTGCCTCAGTTTCTTCAACTGTAAAATGAGGATAATAACAACATCTACCTTGCAAGATTGTGAGGATCAAATGAGATAATATTGGTAAATTGCTTTGCACAGTGCCTGGCTCATAAGAAGGTGCTACTGAGGACTTATTTCCTCTCTCCCTTGGATAAGTCACTGGACATCAATTTCCTCCACTGTACAATGAGGGGGTTGGACGAGATGACCCCAGAGGTCCCTTCCAGCTCTGGACCTGTGATTCTCCATGCTGGACATCTCTGAGGCTGGAGACATGGATCTCCACGCTTCCATCTCTGTTCGGAAGACTCGGAGGCCTTGGGAAGGGAAGGAAAGCCGAGGGCAGTGAAGTGGTTGGCAGGGGGAACACAGAGTCTGAAGTCTGGAAACTTGTATTTTTGTGTAAGTGCCTTGTGTCGGTGGGGGGAGTAGGGGGTGTTTCAGGCCTCCGTGTGTGTTTGCAGAGTGGAATATGGGTTGTTTTTGTTCCTTCTCTGGCCTGAGCCCTTAAAAATATAGACAGCTAATGTCTTCAGTATGTATGAAATATCCCGTATGCTAGGAAACAAAAGGGGCTCTGTTATTAAAGTTTCATTTCCACACGCCCCCTCCCCCCTCCCTCCTCCTTTCCTCCCTCCTCTGGCTCCCCCTGTCACCCTGCCCTCCCCCCAGCCTCTCTGCCGGCTCTGCTCCGGAGGAGGGACAGAGGGAGAGAAGGAGCAGGAGAGAGGAGGAGAGAGCAGAGCAGAGCAGAGCCGGCTGGTGTCCTGCTCCAGGACGGAGACAGGAGGGCAAGAGTGGATGGCATTGGAAACCAAGGGGTCCCTCCCGGGCACAATCCTTACCCCTGGGTTGGAGCAAAGCATTTCCTCTGGTTCCAGGTGAGGGAAGAGAGGACGGAGGGAAAGAAGCACTGGGCTGGGCTCTGGGAGGGGAGATGGGACCCCTGGGTTCCTGGGGTGGGAACCTTTCTGTGGGAGCTGCTGAAGAGAGGACAGTGACTTGTCTCTCCTGTCCTTTTCCCTCTGGGCTCTGGCTCAGGTCCTGCCCGCCTGGGCTTTTTGCCCCTCGAAGAGCTGCCTGGGACGGAAGTTCCAGTCTGGCTGGGCTAAGTGGAACAGCATGTGTCTCCTGCTCAGAGAGGGCTGAATGAGAGGAGAAACTAAGCCAGCCCTCCACCTCTGGGCTCTGGGCTCTGAGGAGGGCTGGTCCAGCTGTGGGATGGATGTATCTGTCCGTAGGGTGTAAATGTGTGCATCTGAGTGTAGGTACACTTGGGGCCATACTTCTGTGAGCATGTTTGAGGGAATGTGTCTATGTATATGCCCCAACGTGAAGGGATCTGAAAGTGTGTCTGAGTGTATTCTTGTTCCTGGGTACATGTGTCTGAGTACACATGTGCATGTATGAATACATGTACAGATGAGGGCATGCATGTATTTGTGTACGTGTGAGTCTATGCACATGTCTGCGTCCAAATATTTGCCCATTGGTGGCACAGGCCAATGGTGCACTCAGCCGCTTATTCAGGGAAGCAGTGTGCTGCTTGTAGGGGGTTGATTAGGGGTCTGGTTAATTTGATGGACTTTTCACAGGTGAGCCTTTATTTGGGATTTTGATTGCCCTTCTCAGAGGAGATGTGGGCCCCATCCAGTTAGCCCCTCATTGAGAGGGTTGAGTACCTCTCCCAGCCTGGGTACTTCTCAGTTCATTCATACCTCCTTAAGGATGAGTGATAAAGATTTGATTGGTGATTTGATTAGCTCTATTATGGATCTGAGGGGCTGCTAGGTGGTGAAGTGGATAGAGGCTGGGCTTGAAATCAGGAGACCTGAGTTCAAATACAGTCTCAGAAACTTCCTAGCTGTGTGACCTTGAGTAAGTCACTTAACCTCTGTTTGCCTCTAGAGAAGGAAATGCAAACCACTTTAGAATCTTTGCCAAGAAAACCCCATGGGCAGAGACCCATGGGGTCATGGAGAGTTGGACACGACTAAACAACGATAAAATTGTGGATCTGAGAGAAGCTCTTTGCATTGGGCATATCTGAAAGGGACGCTGGCCTAGCAGGAGACGCTGAGAGAGCTGACCCAGACTGCAAAAATGGAAAGCCACTGCAGGGCTGGGAATGAATTTGGGGTGGGAGTGAGGGAATCTGCTCAGCCTCTTCAGGGAGACATGAATGGGTCCAATGGATCAAGAAGTACCCAGAAGGGGTCCTCGAGCCTCTCAGCGAGGGTCACGTGTGCTCATGTGCTCAGGCAATGTTTGTCACCATGGGACTGTCACTCCCTGGGTGCACTAATTAGATTGGTCCAGAGCCCCACCACCTTCCTTTCATCATTCATTGTGGCCCAAGCTCAGTGTAGCCAGTTTGAAGCAGTGTGGGGCGCAGGAGGGGCAAGGACGTCTCTGTCCCTGCTCCCCTCAACCAAAAGAAAGAACAGACTCACTTTGTACGGAAGGAAATCCTGGCACGGCCCCTAGAGCTGGGCTGGGAATCACAGAATGTTCGATGGGTCCTTAGTGATCACCTAGTATACCTCCCTCATTTTACAGAGGGAGAAACTGATTCCCTGAGAGGTGAAATATCATCTGTATGACCTTGGGTCATACAGAAAGTGACAGGCAAGGCCCTGGGGCAGAGTCTTAGGCTTTCCATCTCCCCTGCCCCCAGGCACAGTCTCCAGTTGCACATACAATGCAGGACTTACCACCCAGGGAACCAGGCAGGCAAAAAGTGGTGTAATGTCAGTGAGATCTGGATTCAAATGCAGCTTCAGTTACTCACTTCCTGTGTAACCCTGGAAAAGTCATTTGGCCTCACCCGTAAAATGAGGGAGTTTGACTTAACCACTTAGGTCTCTTCCAACTATAAATCCGTGATCCTCTGTAAGTCCCTACTTGTCTCACCCTCTACAGCCCCTGATTCAGGAATTCCCTTTGGGATCATCTGGGAAGTAGAGATACCTATTGAGTGTCAATCTCATTAATCTAAGGTATAAGATCCCTTCCTACTCCTCCCATTCACTGTGACTATTCTGCTCTTATCTTTCATTTCTTTGTTCCATATGCTTGTTTGCCTCCCAGGAAATCCTCAAAGATAGATTTTATTCCCATTATCAAGAGGGGAAGATAAGCAAGAGTGGAAGGATGATAAAAAAATTCTTCTTTTTGTATCCCAAGCTCTATGTGCCTGGGACATAGTAGGTGCTTAATAAGTGTTGATTCACTGATTTGTCTAGCACTATATGTTATCTGATATGATCCTGACACTAGTCCTACAGAAAGAGGAAGGGTGTGGGGGTAGGTATGTGGTGCAGGGGATAGAGCACAGGGCCTGTAGTCAGGAAGATCTGAGTTCAGATCTGGCATCATACATTTACTATCTGTGTGACCCTGGGGGCAGCTAGCTGGTGCAGGGGAGAGAGTACTAGTTCTGGATTCAGGAGGACCTGAGTTCAAATGTGACCTCAGACACATAACACTTACTAGCTGTGTGACTCTGGGTAAGTCACTTAACCCCCAATTGCCTCACCAAAAATAAATAAATAAATAAATGAAATAAAACAAACTGTCTCTGTGGCCCTGGGCAAATCACTTAACCCCTATTTGCTGCAGTACCTCATCTATTAAATGGGACCCACTGGAAAAGAAAATGGCAAACCACTGCCAGTATCTTTGCCAAGAAAACCCCATGGCCTTTGTCACGTAGAGTCAGGCTATGACTGAATGACTAAACAACAATTAATGGATTATAAGTCCATTTTACAGATAAGGATACTGAAACTTGGAGACTTCTCAGGGTCATATGATTAATTAGTTTGTGACAGAGTCCGATCTTAAACCCAGGTCTTCTGACTTCTAGTCGAATGGGTCAGATGCCTAGGAGCCCTGGTAACCTGATGCTCCCCCGCCCTGGACAGTCTTTCTGTGTTCGGGCTTATGTGACTGTTGCTAGGGGCTACTGGAGGTACCCATGGGAACTCCCTCTCCATCCTCCCAGCAAACCTTGTACTACTGCCTTATGAGCCTGGAATTTTTCCCAGCTGAATTTCTACCCACCCTACATGAACCCCTCTAAAGCTGCAGAACATACACCATCAATTATGGTACAGGGCCTGGTTTATTAGGACTGAGTGGTTGTAGCAGCTTTGAAGCTCCAGGGCTCTGGCTGCTTTTCCTTTCCAGGAGACAATTAGGAAGATTCCTTCAGGGAAACAGAAAGGGTGTGGGGGGGGGGAGAGCAAGGCATTCAAAGGCAAGAGGAGGAAGAAGGCTGGACTCACGCTATCATGGAAAGAACACCAGCTTGGAAGGCTGAAAGTATAGCTTCTATTTCTGGTTTGGCTACCAACTTGCTCTGGGACTTTGGAAGAATTACTCCTTTCTCTGGGCCTCAGTTTCCTAACCTGCAAAACAGATACCCTACTTGCACTCACGGTGTTGTGAGAGGAAGGTGCTGGTAAATCTTACATCTCAATACGGTTGAAATATTATTGTCGTTATCTCTGGACCTCATTTTCCCTATTTGGACTATGAAGGGAGTGAGGGAGGCAGATCAGAGATATCTCTAGTTTCTTTGCAGTGCTGACATTCCATGAATCTGCCAGGGAAAGGTGAAGACTGCTGGGCTTGAGTTTGTGGGAGTCCGCTGGTTCAATTCCAGCTCAAAGGAGGGATTTACAACTTTGAGGGGCGGCATAGTATTGGTAGAGTATTGGAATTAGGGAGGGCCAAGTTCAAATCTTGCTTCAGACACTTGCTAGTTATGTGACCCCGGGCAAGTCACTTAATTTCTCTGAGTTTTATTTTTCTCATTTATGAAATAAGGGAAATGAACAAAATTCTCTCTGAGGTACTTTTTAGCTTTAAATTTGCGATCCTATAAAAAAAACTCATTGTATGTCTCTATGTGTATATGCATGTGTGCACATGTATGTGTATACATGTATGTGTGTGTATAGTGTATGTATGTAGTGTGGGGATGGGAAATTGGAGGGGATGGGTGACAGGGCTCGATATACCTGGTGAAGTCAGGGCAAGAACCCCAAGATCAGAGCCAGAAGGTCACTCTAGGGACTCCAGGGTCAGTTTGCTACCTTTCGAGGCTTGCTTTAACCTTCTCACACACCTAGGCGGAGTGGCTTTGGCTTTTTCTGGTCTCTAAGGCCTCAGTTTCTATGTGTCTTGGTGTAACATTATCTGGCTCACCCAGCTATTCTGTTCTCATTCCCTGGAGGGATGGGCTCTGGAAGAGTTATAGCAGACTATAACAATAGCTCACATTTCTATTGTTTTGTATTTTACAAAGTGTTTCCTTTGCAAAAATCCTTTGAGGTGATTAGTGCAAGGGTTATTATTCCCATTTTGCAGATAAGGAAACTGAGTGTCTGGGAGATTGTGATTTGTTCCCATCTAGAAAGTGACTGCGCTTAGGATGAAAAGCCAGGTAATAATAGGTTCACAGGGTCTAGAGCTGGACTGAACCTTAGAAAAGACAGTAGTTTACATTTACCTAGCACTTAGAGGTTTACAAAGTGCCTTCCTTCCATGAATAAATGCAGATATGATTACCATCCTCCCCCTCCTCATTTTCAGCTGGAAACAGACTCGGAGAGATGGTTGGTCTGGCTAATAGAGCCTGAATTCCCATCCAGGTCTTATTCCAAACCCATATTCCCTTCCACTTCAGTACATCCAGTCTCTCACTCTTCTGGCTCCAAAGCTAATGTTCTTTCCACTATACATGCAGGGTGGGAAAGCCAGGAGCTAAGGCATATTGCAAGGACTATAGTTGTTTGGTCATTTTCATTAGTGTCCAACTCTTCATGACCCCATTTGGGGTTTTCTTGGCAAAGGTACTAGAGAGGTTTGCCAT